AGACAATTTCATCTTCTATATTTATGTGAAGAGGCAACAGAATGCAGAAAGAGTAAGAACATACTATTGGCTAAATGCTCAAAACAACATCCATCTCTTCAGAGGTCTGAGTGGGCTTGTGGTTCACAGAGAGCATAGCCTTACTGAGTGGGGTGCAAAAGTATACTTCTTGGTGATTATTCCCAAAAGTAACCTGTAGCATTGGTGAAATAAGACATAGACTTAATTCAGTTGGAGATAATAAACTAAAGAGTACCTGAAGCAAACCCCAGATCAGAGGCATATTCAACCAGCAAAGAGGAAGTTCAGAATCTCAGAGAGGAAGAGAGAGAGTAGGTATTATCAAAAAAGGGTTTAGAGAGAAGGCAGGACATGAGATGAAGAATAGAATAGATTGATAAAGTTTTTATTACTTCATTAATTCAACAAAGGTTTATAGAATGTTAGGCATGATTCTAAACATTGGCATTGGGGATACAACAGAAAAGAAAACAATGACCTTGATGGAGCTTATTCTGGTTGACAAATCATTTCTGCTAGTTAGAAAATGAAAGAGGGAAATAGGACATGAAGACTAGTGTGGTTAGGAGTTGGGCATCTCTTCAGAGGTGGCGCCTGATCTATATCCTGATAGACAGAAAGGAGTCAAACAGATAAAGGTGTCAGGAGAAAGCATCTCAGGCAGAGACAATAAGAGGCATACGGTGGTAATGAGCCTAGTGTGTTCAAGAGAATAAGAGGTAACTGGTGGCAATGAGCCTAGTGTGTTCAAGAAAGAGGCTAGATGCAGTTAGTGCCATGAGATGAGAGACAGTTGGCAAGGGTCTTGCAGATTCTAGACACAGGGAAAAGATTTCAATTTTGTTGTATTTTTAATGTGCAGCCATTGGAGTGTTTTAGGCAGGAGAAGAATAATATGATATGGACAGTACCTTTAAAGACCACACTGGCCATTATGTGAAAAAGAGACTTTAAGGACAAAGAATAGAAGGTCATAGACCCTCTAGAAAGTGAATGCAAGCCGGGTACGGTGGCTCATGCCTGTAATCCCAGCACTTTGGGAGTCTAAGTCAGGCAGATCACAAGGTCAGGAGTTTGAGACCAACCTGGCCAATATGGTGAAACCCAGTCTCTACTAAAAATACAAAAAAAATTAGCCGGGCGTGGTGGTGCATGCCTGTAAATTCCAGCTACTCGGGAGGCTGAGGCAGGAGAATTGCTTGAACCTGGGAACCTGGGAGGCAGAAATTGCAGTGAGCTAAGATCGCACCACTGCACTCCGGCCTGGGCAACAGAGCAAGACTCTGTCTCAAAAAAAAAAAAAAAAAAGTGAATGCAATAGAGCAGACAAGAGATTAAAGTGGGTCTCAGGTGGTATTTAGCAGTGCTGAGTTGCTCCCAGTGCTGAAGCTGATAAAGAAGAAAGGACCATGAAACACAGTATTTTGAAAGTTGGAGGCAAATTAATCCAATTTTTAAAGAGAGCACTGAGATTCCTGACCATAGGACTGATGTGACAGTATAAGAATAATTTATTTGCTTAGTTGCTTATCACCTGTTTTTCTCCGTAAATTTCATGAGGAATTTGGTCTTATTCTTCAGGACCCCATCAACTTTACTACCATCACCACAAGACAATTAAGCATCCTGAAGGCAAGCACCATGCTAATTTCACTTTGAACACAGTTGTTAGCATATAGTATGCTCAGTAAGTGACTAATGAATGTAATGAGCATATAAGTGGAAGAACAATGTATTCGATGAAATAAATAAGATTTAATGGAAAGATATTAGAAGAATAACAAGCAATGAAGTTGCTACAATAATATAGATTTGAAGTTAAGAGACTGTACTAAGGAAAGAAGGAAAGAGAAATGAAATCTGCATTTTTAAGGAAATCAATAGAATGTGGTAATAGTGGTGGCCTAGTGATCGTAAAGGATAACATTGAGGAATAAAATATGATAGATTAGCATGTCACATCTATTTCACCCTCAACAACTCGCATCTCCTGTCCAGTGTGCTAACCTCATCTGCAAAGTTGGGAAAAATGAAAAACACATTTCCCAGGGACTCTTGTAGTTAGGATTCTTGATGTGATATACGTTTGGACAATTTTATGCATATGCATGATATTTTATTTTATTATTTTATTTTTGAGACAGAGTCTCACTCTGTTGCCCAGGCTGGAGTGCAGTGGCACCATCTCAGCTCACTGCAACCTCCGTCTCCCTGGCTCAAGCGATTCTCCTGCCTCAGCCTCCCAAGTAGCTGGGCTTATAGGTGTGCACCACCATGCCTGTCTAATTTTTGTATTTTTGTAGTACAGACCGGGTTTCATCATGTTGGCCAGATTGGTCTCCAACTTCTGACCTCAAGTGATCAACCCGCCTAGGCCTCCCAAAGTACTGAGATTACAGGTGTGAACCCCATGCCCAATCTATTTGCAAGATATTTAAAGGAAGAATTGAAGTGGAGACTGCACTACCTGCCACTGCTATTTTGCTGGCAAGCATGGCCATTGAGATGTTGGGTTTTTAATGGTAGCATTTAGCAGATGCTAGGGTCCAGTCAGGCCAGCACAGTGGCTCAAACCTGTAATCCCAGCATTTTGGGAGGCTGAGGTGGGCAGATCACGAGGTGAGGCGATCGAGACCATCCTGGCTAACATGGTGAAACCCTGTCTCTACTAAAAATACAAAAAATTAGCTGGGCGAGGTGGCGAGCACCTGTAGTCCCAGCTACTTGGGAGGCAGAGGCAGGAGAATGGCGTGAACCCGGGAGACGGAGCATACAGTGAGCCAAGATCGTGCCACTGCACTCTAGTCTGGGAGACAGAACAAGACTCCATGAAAGAAAAGAGAAGAAAAGAAAAGAAAAGAAAAGAAAAGAAAAGAAAAGAAAAGAAAAGAAAAGAAAAGAAAAGAGAAAAGAAAAGAGAAAAGAAAAGAGAAAAGAAAAGAAAAGAAAAGAAAAGAAAAGAAAAGAAAGAAAAGAAAGAAAGTCAGAAAGCAGTCTCCCATTTTGCTGATGCAGATTATAGCAGGTTCAGTTGCAGACCCAGGCCTAGGACCCAGGCCTAGGACTGACAACAATAATGGCTTCTTAATTATAGCACTTTGCTGGTGTTGACCACTTTCTGTTTGGTAGCATTGGCTACCATGAAGAATCTGCACCTTCCTTGGTGGCAAGATACAGTATGGTAGACTTGGGAGTTATTTCCAAACGTTTAACACAATTTTGTTTCTTCCACCCTCTGAGAGATTTTATAAGTCATTTAATATTCTCATATTTGACTCCTTATTGCTTAAATTAGCCAGAGTAGGTTCTGTTCTTTCAAATTGAACTGTGGGAGATAAATATTTCTGGATTTGAACCTGAGGGACTGGAACAGTGGTGGACACACAAGAAAGAAAAAGTAAGGAAGATAAGAAGAGGATAGAGCCTGAAAGGGAAAGAGAAGACATTTTCTTGCCTTATGGAGAAATTGAAATAGGCAGTATGACAAGAGGGAAGCAGAGCCCAAACAGGATTGAAAAACTTCAGTGTATCCACAAAGCAACAAGCAAATATGAATAAACACACACCCTGGGACTTGAGCACAGAAGCCCTGAGTAACCTGAATTATCAGGAAGCCTTTGGAAGCAGGCAGCACCCTGTTAGGAGGAGAGAGCTTCAAACACGATCGCTGAAAACAGAAAGATTCCTTGGAAAGCAGTTCCATAACAGTTTAGATGAATTCAAATGGTCTGTGTACATGTTTTGCACATTGCCACAAACAGGAAACATGGGATTGAGCCATTGGATACAGTGCCTGCCTTGCTTGTCAGCCAGGGCCACAGGGGCCAGTGCCAGTGTAATGCAGCAGAAATGCACAGAAACATTAGGTGCCAAGAAAACACAGAGCATCCTGGAGGCTGCTTTTAGACAATAGCGGGACAAAAATGCCTTCCCCACAGAATTTGAATGGTCTAAGAAAATCCCATAGTGTGAGGTACTAGAAATTGTTTTCTTAATGGAACATCAGAATGATTTACAGAGTAATGGAACTGTCTAAGGTTTAGCAATGTCCTGGGTTTCCAGACTGCTCTAGCCGATGTTAGACCAAAGATTACACAGGGAAGGGTATGATAGATGTGAAATAGGAGAAAGGGAGAAACGAACATGACTATGAATCTGTGGGTATGTTTTGCAAGTATTTGTCATGTTTCATTTTATTTATTTGTTCATGTATTTGTTCTTTTGCTTTATTTTTACTCAGACCCATTCCACAAAACACTTAGGCAAGAGTTATTTATGACATATTTAGTGCTTTTTACACTTTTATTTTCTGAAGTATGTGTTAGTAATCATTACCTTGATAATATATACAATCTGTTTCCTATCCTGCATCCTGTGGATGCTCCTTCTCTAGTGGATTTGTAAAGAACTTTTGATGAAAGCAAACAAAATATGCAATCATAAACATGCTTAACACTCACAGGCATCATTCTCATATGGAAAATTGTTTAAATCACCCATTCAAACATGCTCATTGTGGCAATCACACCACCTCCATAAACTGTGTTGTGAAAGAGAAAACACACACGCTCTCCCGCTAATGTTCCTGCCTACAATAACTCAAAGGCAAAAGCTACAGGCTACAATTTGCTGTCAGGCTGTCAGGTTCTGGACCCACTGGGCGTGTCGATTTCACTTTTCCTTTCTACACATTCAATCTCTGGCATCTTGGGGCTAAAGAGACTTCCAAGTAGGAGATAACTACAATATTCTAACAAGGAAGGGGGAAAAGGAGATTAACTCTCACAGCTCCCCGATGCATGTTAGCATAAAAACACAACAGTACTCTTTATAGTCCTTATTTTAGGGGTTATGGAAGCCAGTTTAAACATGGCTTGTAAACTTCACCTGAATTATTCCGCAGTGTGTATCGCAGTATTCTGCACCATGTGGGTCCTGTTCACCTATTATCATAGAAGTTTAGAGGTGGAAGGGACAATAAATGTTTGACAAGGTGTTAACAGTCTGTATCTCCATGTCTTCCATTCACGTGGCTCACCATCCACATATTCAGGAAGTAGCTTTTATCTTTCAAAACAGTTCAGTGATAAGAAAAGAAAATGCATTGTGTGAATGCACAAAGAAAAGTGCATTGTGATGTCACAATGGAGCAGCTTTGATTCTCTTTCCTCTGAACACTAGAGAGGCAATATCAAAGCTAGACCCTGGGAGTCCAAGCACCTCTGCAAATCCACTTCTGACAAACATGATAATTATGATGGTAGGTAATGTTATCGGTCGATTTGTGTCCCTCCAAGCTTCATATATTGAAGTTCAGCCCCAGGATCTCATAATGTGATATTATTTGGAAATAGGGCCATTGCAGATATAACTAGTTCAAAGGAAGTCATACTGAACTAGGGTGGGTCCTAATCCAATATGACTGATGTCCTTATATAATTGGAAATGGGAACACAAACATGCACACAGGGAGAATGCAGGTGAAGGTGAAGGCAAAGATCTATAGGCCAAGGAATGCCAAAGATTACCAGCAAACCATCAAAAGCTAAGAGAGGGATGAAACAGATTCTCCCTCACAGCTTCAGAAGGAACCAACCCTGCTGGCACTTTGATGTTAGACTTCTGAATCCTAGAACACATTCCTGTTGCTCATGCCATCCAATTTGTGGTACTTTTGTTATAGCGGCCCTAATACAGATAAATAAAGATACTAATTAAAACCATAAACCTCTAATAACATGAGCACATATCATAGAGCTCTTTCAAGATTACTTCCCCAAGTCAAGACATAGGGCAGAGATTTTTGTTTTAAATGAGCTGATGGAAGTGACGAGACTTATTCTCAGTTTACATTCAAAGGCAGTAAAAAAAGCTGAGGCTAGAAAGGTGTTTCAGAACTGACTTTCTGCAGATTCTGTGACATTAATCCCTGGCCTATATTGGTGAAAAGAACCGGAAAGGAGAAGATGACTACGACTCCTAGATAGTCTCTGTTCTCTCCTGTCAGTTTCACCAGGTTAGCAATGCATCTTCAACAACAATAAAATGCTGAAGGAGATGGGTGCTATAAACTCAGATCAGAGTGGGAGTGTGGCAGTAGAAATAACAATGATGTTATAACAATATTAATAACATCTTTGCTTCCAGAACATTTTCTCATTATCTATCTCTTTGAACTTTACCTTCAAATATATGAGATAGTAGCCCACCTATTATTATCCCTTTTTGCAGAAAGGGAAGCTGAGACTCTAAGAAGTAAAATGAATTATTCAATCAACTCAGGCCACAGCTAGGCCAATGCTCTTTCTAGGAAACCATGCTTGAAGAAAATGCTTTCCATGGAGAATTTATATAAGAACATAGTTACAAAAGTAAACAAGGAGACATTAAATTTCATTAAATTCCTGAGGGTTCTGAACCCTTGCTGCATGATTGATGCAAGCACATCTAGGAATGTGTCCTGGGAAGGAATGGTGGAATGAATGACCAGAGAAACCCCTGAGGAATACAAGGACTCCCTGGTTTGAAAGGCAGTAGAACAGAGCTTCCAATGTGCCCTCTGGATCTAGTATTACATGAATAAACTCAAGAGAGGGCCACACCAGGCCTGCTGGCATTGGTCTCCCCAGGCAGAGCTCCTGGGACTATGTGGCCACAGCCTCTGCACACAAGCCTCTAACCTACCATCTGATGGCAGCAGCCCAGGGTTAAACCTCTGCAAATGAGTGATTGATTGCATCACTGCAACCTCAAAAGGCAGAAAATCTTCCAGCTTCTCCAATCTTCCTTCAAAATTCCTTATTGATTCATCACCTGAGTATTTATCCAATCTTTCAAAAATCTTTCATATATTCAATGCATTTCCTCTCTAGATATAAGAAGGTAAGCTTACTTCCCACTCTATTAATGGAATGCCTACTGAATTATCCTAAACCTGCCTCACTCTGTCTCACGATCTCAAAGTGATTCCTTTACTCCTTATATTCCACATGGCATGGAAAAGACCTCCTTCTCCATCGCCTAAATGAGTTTATGATTTGTATCCGGTTTCTCCAAAGTCTTCCTCTTCAAACTCCCATTCAATATCATAGTCACATAGTCTTTCTTTTCCATGAGTTCTCTCACCAATCAAATTTTAAGCATTTTCTTTATGCAACTTGCTGGCCAATTACCAGTGACACAAAGATGAACAAAGCACTGTTCATGTTCTCACAGAGTTCACGTTTTAGGGGCAGAATTTCAGTCGAGTGGGAGAGTGAGTTGGACTAAGCTCAGCTGACCAGAATGTAATGTGGGCTATGATAGAACAAGCAGAACACATGGGTTTTGCTCACAAGAGGGCCCCTGTGTTGATCAGAGTTCTTTGCAAACAGCATAAGTAAGTTCTGGCTTACTTAGACACAAAGAGGGAGAGGTTGGAATATTTGAATGGCTGAAAGAAGACTCAGGAGATCCAAAACAGGCCTCAGAAAACTAGGAGCAAAGTCTGTTTCTGGGATTCAAAAAGCAGGAATTACCTAGAAGAACCAGCTCCAATCATTTCTGGTTCCATGTGCCATTTCAAGACAAATACCAAAGAGAGGGCCCTGGCTGCTCAACCTCAGTCCTAGGCTGACTCCTTTTCCAAGAAGACCAGCTCACCTTACAGATACCTTGTTCAGACTGCTTCTGTGGGGGAATAGGCAGTTCCTCAAAAACAAAAACATCAAGGTGATGACACTAAATGAAGGTGGCTGTCAGGTAGAGCAAATAACAGATGTCTATAACAACAACTAGAATATAGAGGGAGGAGGCTGGATGTTGTGGCTTATGCCTGTAATTCCAGCACTTTGGAAGGCCAAGATGGGTGGATTGCTTGAGCCCAGGAGTCTGAGACCAGCCTGGGCAGCATGATAAAAGCTCATCTCTACTAAAAGCACAAAAATTAACTGGGCATGAAGGTGCGTTCCTGTAATCCCAGCTACTTGGGAGGCTGAGGCACAAGAATTGTTTGAATTGGGAAGATGGAGGTTGCACTCTGAGATTGTGCCACTGCACTCCAGCCTAGGCAACAGACCAAGACTCCATCTCAAAAAACAAAAAAAAAAATTTACATGTGTATATACGTGTGGGTGTGTACATATATGTGTATATATATGTGTGTGTGTGTGTATCTATAGACAGAGAGAGAGAGACAGAGACAGAGAGAGAGGATGGGGAAGACTCCTGAGAGGAAATGAACAAGAGCAAAAATGTTAGCAAAAAGCAGGAATTTGTGGTGTGAGTGTAAGAGACAGGGGAAGAAAAAGGAAGGTGCTCCAGGCATTTGAACAGCAGAGACAAAAGCAGGGAGCAAGTCCTGAGGATAATAGAGATGCTTTGGGACATGGCACCGAAGTGGGGAAGGAATAGGAGCCAGATTATAGAAGGAACCCATGGAAGGGCAAGGGTGTGGGAAAGATGACAAGGGAAACACAGAAAAATGGAAGACAAGACTCAGTGTGGCAGCAGTGTAAAGGGGCACATCATCAGGCAGTGAGGTTCTAAGTGTAGAATGGTGCACAATGCTTAGCACGTGATTAATGCTTAATAAGCATTAATTTCATTATCATTATAATCATAGGAGAGGCATAAGTACCTTCTTCCTTTGTAGGCTTGTCTGAGAACTCCATGAAATCAGGGATGTGGAGGGGATGGTGTAAAGTAGAATGTTTCTAATTTGTTTCCTACTTCCGTTCCCATTCATGCAGTAATCTAAGTCAAAATAATTACAAATGGTTCCTGACCTAAGTTGACTGCACTGAGAATAGAATGTAGCAAAAAGAAGAGAGGCATTAAGGTGAACAGGTAGTTATGAAGTATAAAGAAAGAGTTTTAAGACCTTACCAGGTGTCTGATGTAAGAGATTAGGTAGATAATGGCATTATTCTTCAAGATGGGAAAGGTGGGTTTTGAGGGAAAGAGGAAGTGTTTGGTTTGGTGATGTCGAGGGTTAACTATGTCAATACGGTTTTGTGTTGGGTTTGAGTAGCAGAAGACATTCCACGGGTGGTGGAACTGCTGGCACTGGCCTTCCCATGCCTTCACAGTGTATGTGTGACCCGAACGGCCAGAGCAGGAGTTTTTGTTCTGGGGTACTGAGTTTTGGACTCTCAATGGGTATCAAGTCTTCTGACCTGCTCTGATATAAACTAGCTTACTCTTTTCTTCAAATCCTTTATTCACACTGTACTTCCTAAGGCATGTTCTCTTTATTTAAATCCCTGTGAAAACCTCCCATCTGAGGATGTCCCTACTAAAGTATTTTCAAAAGGAAAGAGAGGAAGCAATTAGAACAGCAACAATGAACAAGCCCTCAAGGAATTTTTAATGCCTGGAAAGTATTTCCCCCTGAACACCTGGGGTTTCTGGGATAGACAGTTTCCAAGTCCCCTAAAACTAGTCAGAAGGACCTGAATCCTTCTGTGGCTTACAGAGTCCAGTCCAATCTCAGCACTCCACACACAGTGATGAATCATAAAGAATGGAGGAGTTGAATTGGAACTGTTTCTAAGCCCAAAGAGTAATTTTTTTCTTACTTATGATGTATTTCAGATCTCACAACATCTGCCTGTTTAAATTTCAGCTGGGGAATTTGGGGGGGAAGTTAAAAGATTTCTGGATTTCTTATAATAGAAACAAATGTTTCCCTGTGCATTCTAACTTTTCTCCTGATGAATTTTATATCTCTTTAATCTCCTGATAAGCTTATGCCACAAGCATTACATGCTTTATTTGGAACGGAGTGCCCCCGACGCTGGATGATTTCTCCAAGGGCACACAACAATTGCACAGGTTCAAAGGAATTAGACACTGGTGCTCTTGACCCTTAGTGCAGTCTCCTTCCCATGAATCTCTCCCAAGAGTTTGCTGGGAACCATCCCTTCCCTAAAAGCAGGCTCTCACCAGAGCATAGACCATGCTAACAGGCAGTGCAATCAGTGAGGAAGTTCTTAACATCCACCTGCTCACTTGTCCAGAGAATATACTGAACAGCTCAGGCAGCACTGATTACAAAGGTCAGTAGTCGACATGTGGCTGGAGAGCTTAGCAGAGCAATAATCAGGTGCAGTCTCTTTCCTTCCTCTTAGACTTTTTTCAATTTGATAGAGTAACATGCTCAAGGATGTGAGGTGACCTCTTGGAGCACTGAAGCTTTGTGTTCATCATACTCATCTTCTAAAAGTGTCTGTGACCCAGAGATATATCAAGTGATGAAATGAAAGAGGTTTTGCATCCTGCTCATATGCGACAACATGAAACTGGAGGACATAAGGCTAAGTGAAATAAGCCAGCCACGGAAGGACAAATACTACATGGTTCTCCTCATATGAGATATCTAAAATCAAACTCATAGAAACAGAGTTAAATGGTAGTTTCCAGGAATTAGAAGTAGGGAGAAATGGGAGTTGTTGCTCAATGGATATATAATTTCCATATACAGTTTATGGAAGATGAAGAAGTTGTAGAGATCTGCTGTACAATATTGTGACTAAAGTTAACAATACTGTACTGTGCACTTAAAATTTTGTCAAAGGAGTAGATCTTCTGTTAAGTACTCTTACTACAATTTGTGTGTGTGTGTGTGTGTGTGTGTGTGTGTGTGTATGAAGATACTAGGGACAGAGGTAAAGTAGTGTCAATCACTTACATTTATAAATAAACTTAGACCTAGGAAAATGAAGCCACTTGCCACAAGCCACAGAACTAATCAGTAGCAGGTTTGGTAGAAGAATGCAAACCTTTAACTCCCAGTCCAATAATGTTTCTACACATTGAATAGCATATAGTTGCAAAGAATACACCAAAGTAACTGCGTTAATTTCTCACTAGTCACGTCGGCAGGAAAACTCAGGTTTAACAAATAACAAATTGGAAACAACCCTCAAGGCACCACTCCAAAGCCGATCTGCCAGTCTAGGAGCCTGTGGTCCCAAGTTCTGAGTCACAGCCATTCCAATGAGTCACATTGCAATGCTGGCCCCCTGGGCATTTCACTGTATTTGTAGGAGCAATTCCAAATAAGCAGACAGACTGGCTCCACGCAGACCATAAGCCAGAAAACCTGCTCCTGTATGCTTGTCTGGAGATGCTGAAAGTGGTTGCCTGTCATGAGTGATTTATATTATATTTTATATATATATATATGTTCCTTCTACTCACCTGTACCTGCTTTAGAAGTCGGGTTAGGTAATTGCCTATCCTAGAGCGACCTGAGCAGTAGGTACCTTGCTCCAAGATATTCCCACTAGTGTCAAATCAAAGTTTGTAAAATTTTAAATTTAAAAAATATATATATTACTTTGATTCTTAAAAGCCCTTTTGTATTTTAAGAACCACCTTATTTACATTTAATAAAATGTAAATGATAAAATGTAAATCTTTGGAGAAGGGAAATTAGGTGAACTTAAGAGAGCACTTGCTACTAAGAAACATGAGAAAGAAAAAGGGGAATATGGAAGTATCAGAATTCAAATTAATATGCTTCATCTGTCATTGACTTTTTCTGAGCACTTAATATATATCAGGCCTGAGCTAGGTGCTGGGGGAACAAAGATGAATAAGGCATGGTCTCTGTTCT